GGGGGGGGGGGGGGAGTTTCCTCAGCTCAGGGAGTCTAGCTTTGCATTATCCTTCCCTCTCCCCCCCCTCCCCAATGGTATCTTCCTGCCAAGAGGCCGAGGGTCCGGCTTTGCATTGTCCTTCTTCCCTCCTCTCCCCCCACCCATGTCATCCTTCTGCCTGCCCTGCCAGGTGGGCTGGAAGGGTGAGGGGGTGGTCCTCAGCTCGCATGGCGGCTGGAGGGCTGCCTCCCCTCCACCTCCTGACAGCCCTGCCAGGTAGGCCAAGAGGGAGCAGCTGAGCTTGAGAAGGAGTGGGATGGGGGGGGGGGCTGGCATCTGTTCTCAAGCCCCCAATCCACCCTCCCCTCCTTGCAAGAGGGTCCCTTTCCTGGACCCGCTAAAAGAAATCAGTCTAAAAAGTGTGACTGCCTAACAAGGACAGGTGGGTAGGTTGGATGGGTGGGTAGATGGGCAGGTGGCTCAGCCAGGTGGAGGCAGCTTAAGGCTTGGAGACCCCTCCCCACCCGACCCCAGGAGGGCAAAAAAGTTGGGAAAAGTCCCGTTCCCCCCACAGCCCTCCATTCAAGACGCTGGTCAGAGAGTCAAACTGATGGTGAATCTGCTGGGATTTTAGGTCAAAATTGTCCAGAAAATTCTCTTCTCTCCTTGCCCCCAAAGAGTCCATAAAATAATTTGAATTTTTATTAAACTTTTTCACATTTAAAAAACAACACATATAAAAACAACACGTATACGATCTTCGCAGTGATGGGACATCCACTTTTCCATTTAAATCAACGTATACATATTGACATCGTTTTTTTATTCCCACAGTCTAACCCAGGGGCTGGCAACCTTAAACACTCAAAGAGCCACAAAGGTCCTAACCGGAAGGCCCCCCCCAATTAATTTCTGGAGCCGACCGGAAGTCCGGTTCCCCCACCATAGAGTTGTCTCCTAGCACAGCATCCTTTTTCCTCTACCTGCCCTCTCACTTGTGGAGCCGACCTGCAACAGGGAGCCATAGCAGAGGGATAATAAAAGAGCCACATGCGGCTCCAGAGCTGTAGGTTGCTGACCCTTGGTCTAACCGATTGTCCCATTTTCCCCACACCATATAGTATTCCATGTCTTCTCTATCTTGCAATTCTAGTGTGAGTTGGACCCTTTCTGCACAGTCCCATTATTTTCTTGATTACCATACTATCTGCGGGGATGCTAGCTACTTTCCAACTTTGTGTGTCGGTTATTCTTGCCGCTGTTTAGTACGTGTATTTTGATATATTTAATTTCTGGTTTTAAAAGCTTTTATTTCCAAGCTTGCAGCGCCGATCCGTCTCCTTCTCCCCATCGCCCCAACGAGCGTGCGCCTCTCTTGTTGACAGCAGCCACAATGGGGGAGGGAACCTCGGACAGCCGCCTCACCCCAACCTCCCGGCCTCTCTGGCTACTGATAGACTTGCCCTGAACAGGGAGGCTTGGATTAGACCCATGGGACAGCAAGGGGGAACTTGGGACAGGTGGTCCAAACTTTTGGAAGATAATAATTCACTTGGGGAAGGGGCAGTCTACCTGGAAAGCGGCCACAGGGTTTTAAGGGCAGGGCGGGAGGACTGAATTTTGGGAAGAAAACATCCCAGCTGGAGGCTCTGGAGATGCTTGCAAATTAGGGGTAAAAAGGGATGGATGAATAGATGGAAGGAAGGATGGAAGAAAATGGAGGGAAGAAGGAGGGGCAGGAAGGAAGGAAGGAAGGAAGGAAGGAAGGAAGGAAGGAAGGAAGGAA